GAGAGAGAGAGAGAGAGAGAGAGAGAAATATTGCGTTCGCTCCAATTTCTCGAATTAAACACGTGGAAAAAACTCGTATTCGCGCGCGTCTTCAACGATCCTTTAATCCCCCCGGGACAGGAAACGTCGCCTCTGAGAGGCGAAGCGTCGAGCGATGATCGATCAACGGCGATCGAGGAAGAAATATAAGAATAAAATCAGAACGAAGACTTACCCTGACGGGAGCACGGAAGAGTGGTGCAGTGACGGCATGCGGATTAGCGTGATGGTGAGCGTGGTTATGGTGGCCATGATGATGGTGTCTGGTGTCAGGACCACCTCCTGCAGCCGCTTGTTCGGCCTGGACCGACATCGCCGCGCGGGCCTGTCGTTCCCGCTCCCGAAGCCGGTCCCGTTCCACGCTGAAACCCCAATATTTCATTAAAAATTCCGTTATTATTTCATTAAAAACGATATCATATTATATTAAAAACGACGATTGTCGTTGTTCCTCCAATTTCATCCAATTATCGCGAGTTATATAACAGACGAAATATAATAAAAATCGATCCATTTCTTCCTTGCGCGGGAAAATGAAAAGAGCTTAGAAGGGAGAGAAAGAGAGAAAAATTTCTTTTGAGTTTAATCGATGGATATAAACAATCAACGACTACCCCCCACCTTCGATATCACCTACTTCGAATCGATCTTTTTCGAAAGAAAATTCGCCTCCATTGGCCACGAACTCATCGGGGATCGCGCAAGAATCCTGTCTCTGAGCGGAAATCGGCACGTGACGCACCCTCTCGGAATAACTCTCCCACGTTTTAAGGAATACTTCGTCAACCGTAAAAGGAACTAGGCGCGCAAGGCAAATAGAAAAAGAGAGAGAGAGAGCAGCTGCAGCTGGCGCAAACACCTGTTTAGCCGCGTTTCCGGCTACAACCAAGCCGGGGATCGCGTCACGAATCACCCAGACGAGACACGCCACCGCAGATCGCCAATTATCGGATCGAATCATCCTTCCACGCTCTATCAAAAAGAATCTCTTCTCCTTGTTCTCCTTGCCGCGTTACGAAATCGAGTCAGGGTGACTCTGATGAAACTGGGTCGCGACGACGAATCTGCTTTTCGACCCGATACAACTCCAATTCGATCTCAATGCGGGCAAACAATTACTAATTTCCGCGGATATCGATCCGCCCCGCCAATCCTCCCAGCCGCGTTCATCCACGGCTCACGCGGTTGATGATTTTTCCCTTCCGCACGGAAATACGATGAGGCCGAATCAGAAGATCGGCACGATAGAGCGATGGAAAATTCGAAGGGAAGGATCCATCTATGGGGATGGATTTGGTTGGAGTGACAACAAGACTAGGGCCCAAGGATTTATTACCATGGCGGGGAATCTCGTTCCTTCGTATATATATACGTGCATACGATTGATTTCCCGATTACTAAAATGCACTCCTCCCCTCCCAGATTCTCTCGATCTCTTTCTCCGTCTCTTGGAACGAGGACGTGATACTTTCGCGATTGGTATATATATATATATATATTTCCTGATAAAGCGAGCATGCTCGAGCTGGCACGCCGCTATAACGGCGACCAAGATCCGATACGAATATCCGCGTGTACGAATCATCCGCGGCATTGATACGACACATTCGATGTATACGAATAAGTTTGGCGAAAGGATTTTCCACCTCCGTGGAATATTAACCTCTCCTCGCGTCTTTTTCTTTTTTTATTTGAATAATCTCGTCCCGAAAATTCCGGGTAAAGAAACCCAATTCGCCGCCAGATATATATATATTGTTATCGAGCGAAAATATTTTTCCTTTGTGAAAAGGATGAGAGGAAGACAAAAGAGAATAATAATAATAATATATAATTTGAGCTTTGATAGAAACGATAGCTGCGATGATTTGGAAAAGAGAGAGTTTTCGTCGTAGCGTTTGCTTTGAATTAGGGCACTCGACCGGAAATATATTCGGAATTTCAACGTTCCCCACATCCATGCATTTACACACCCGAGAAGTGGTAAAGCGTTAGCCGATTTCGGAAGAGAATCGAAACGAAAAGCAAGAGCGGGGCACTTTATCGAGTGTTCGGCAGGTCGCAAAGCCGACAAAGTTCATCGCACTAACGAAGCCTGCGCGCTTTCGTGATTAACGCCTCGGTAAATGGACGGGGGATACGCCATCCTCCGGAATTCCTATTCGCTCGACTCCAAATTTTCCACTCGCGCGATAAACGAATCATTTTCCAACGCGCCGATTCGATCGTCGATTCCAAGTGGTCATCCGTGATTTTACGAATTAAATACAAAAAAAGAAAGAGAAGGAAAAAGAACGGAAAAAAGAGGAAAAGAAAACAATGGTATTCCGTTCGAGACGAGCTGAACGATCGAGTTCCTTTTCTCTTCTATTTTTGTAACTGAAATACTCGAAGCAGCGACACTAATGGCTACTTTCGATTCGACACGATCTTCTAAAAGTGGAGCAAGTTGTATTTCCAACCGCGTCATCGAATATCTGCCAACGAGTTTTTCGAGCGAATCGTTCGAACGATCCCTGTAGGATAGGAGGAGAGTATCGGCCACGGAAATAATTAACTCGCGTTAACCGCGGTCCATTGGAAATGATAAGGAAGAAAGGACGGGTCTCTCGAGAGACCCCTCGCCATCTGCGATTCGCGATGAACAAACAGATAAGAGGGAGGTCGGTTAATCGACGGAAAGGGAAATCGATAAATCGTCCTTCTTCTTTCTCTCCTCAACGTGTTAACGTACAAAATTACCCTTCGAGTTAACAAACCACTGATCAAAAATACCACTGTCGTTGGACGAAATATTTTTGAAAAATGTACATTAGAAATGTACCGGTGACTCGTTTTGGAACGAAGATCGATATATCCTCGAACGCTCTCTTCGAAATTTCCCGTTAATGGTAGACTTGTACAAATCGAAAATGTTAAAAATCGTTTGAGAGTATTTTATTATCGCGAGAAGCATGGTGCGACGACTGTGGAGATCAATAGGGTATCGATGGAACGGCCAAGCAACGTGTTTTTTTTAATTAAAAAATCCTGGACCCGTAATAACGATGACGAATATGAACCGTAAATGGAAAACCGTTTTCCCGATTCGTTTCGCGACGAGAAAGCTTCTCTCCCGTTAATCAAAAATTCCAGCCTGGAATAAACAGTTGGCGAGTCTGCGCGACAACGAAACGTCATCCGATTTCCCGCGTTTCGCAAGCGACGAACACGGAGAGGAGAAACCACGGCCGGGTCAGGATCGATCTACGTCAGCAACGAGCGATCGGTGACGCGCTAATTTCCACCACCGTACATAGTAAGCTATACTCTATTCTTGAAAACGAACGTCATAGTCGATATTTTAATTCGTCGATACGCGTACAACCGTTCCACGCTGTTTCAGATATCGCCGCCTTATGAATCGAACTATCGATTCATCTAAATTTACTCAATGAACCGGTATTATCGATCACCGGATCTCCGACAATGGCATTTTTCATCGAATACTCGGGAACGGTATTCCGGGAACCGCGTCCGCTTTAACGCGATGTAAAAATACATTACGGGTTTCTTAAAAGTCGAAAATTCCTCGCAAAAATATCTCTAATATCTGCGTCGAGTCGCAATTCTGGATTCAACTCTGTTTCCTTGCTTTTCCTTCTTTTTCTCTCTCCTTATTTTCTCAATCAAAATACACGGTCAAAAATATTTTATATATCGTAAACATTCGTCGTGGAATGTTGCGGTGAAAACGGGCGATTTCCACGACGCAACGCTTACCCACGTACGGACGTGTGTAAGTGCACGCGTCGCGCTGTTTAGAAATCGGACGAAGTATAGTCGCGCAGCGAACTAGCACGCGAAACAGTGTAACGCACACGCGCGTCCGGCGATGGCGCGCGCGCGCTCACACAAACACACACACACGCACGCACGCACACACGGGCGGAACGGGAGCTGCTACCGTTGCACGCACGTGGCCGTACGTGTGGCGAATTGGATTCGAGCTTAGTTAGCTGCTCTCGGCCGATAAACGACCGAGACAGCGAAAGTATCCGCGCTGGGGGAACGACGAAGAGGAGCGCAAACTCGTTGCGGGGGAGGGGGAGGGAAACGGGGGAGCACGGAGAAGAGATCGACAAGAGATAAAGAGCGATGGACGCGTGTAAAAGAGAGACGAGTCGAAATCATGATGCGCAGAGGAGTGGCAAGAGGCACAGGGAATCTGTGAGTTGTCGCGTTTATTTTGAGCCGGCGAAGGCTAAATGCCGGATTGCGCGGTCGCGAATTCTCGGCGATTCGACGCCTTTTTCCCTCTTGCTCTCTCTCTCTCTTTCTCTTTCCTCCTTTCTTTTTTAGCTTTTCTTCCCCCTCTCCCCTCCCTCCCTATCTTTCTCCCCGCTCATCTCGCAATCGATCTCATCTTCCTATCTTCATTTTCTCTTTACCGCCATCATCCGAGTCCGAGTTCGTCAATCACCAATTTTATTAGGTTATAATCGAAAGGTTATAGGGATAGAAATCGACTTAGGGGAGAAGGGGGAATCGATCGAGAGATTTTTCATTTTTCGTTTGTTTTTTTTTTTTTTTTTTGTTAAAATTTATCCGTATCCATTTTTCGAGAAGGTAAATCGAGCTTTGAAAATCCCCCGCCCGTCCGAGGGGGATTTTCTGAGAAAGGCCAAGTTTCTCATCGCTGCGAAATCATCTCTCTTCCCGTTGAATCGCAATCGACAAACCCAATGACTCGGTTCCATTGACACTGACACACTGACATCGTTTCACGGTACGACAACCTTCGAAAGCCGCGTTTCGTTCTACGCTCAAGCGCTAATCTCCTTGAACGAATTGAACCGAGCCTCTTGAACCGTGCTCGAAAACCTTCCTCGTTACACGCTATTTCAATCGAGTTTCATTTACACCAGATATTATACAGAATACATTACCGGTCACAGTTTCCCCTACTGAAAGTAGCTTTCGCGGAAACGAGTTTGGTCGAGTTTCGACCGTGTTGTTTCGACGAGCAACCGTTTACATAAACAAACATTCGGAAACACCAGTTCCCTAGTGACGCGACTTGAATTATTAATTGCTCGATAAATACGATAAATCGATCACAAACACGTTCATCTTACTCGACCATCATCTAGAAACGTGAAACGTGATGATTCACCTATGCATTTACGTACACGCGCGAATTATATTAGATCTGGAATCTAGAGGATCTATCGGCTAAACGAGCTTCTGCTTCGAATTATAGAATGGAAGTTACATGCTAATAACGAGATTCAATAACGCATTTAAATCTGCGCATTTAAATTTTTCATTCAAAAAACGTCGATATTTCTTTGTCGACGCATATATTTAAGCTTAAAAAAAA